CATCACCATCATCATCACATCACATCACATCATCATCGTTACCATCATCATCACATCACCACCATCATCATAACCTTCTGGGGGTTTCCTATATCTTATGCTCTAGGCTAAGTGCTTTGTACATATTAAATCATTTAATTCTCACAACCATTATTCCCATTTTACAGATGAGGAAACTGAGGCTTATGGTGTTCAAATAACTTGATCAATATCACAGTTAGTAAGTAGCAAAATTTGAACTTGAACCTAGGTCTCTCTGGTCTTTATGAATTGTGCTACATTGGATCGAACCCAGGTTTCTGGTGTCCAGCCATTTTCTTTCACAACCTCACTAGGAACATAGGGTGTTTAATCCAAAACTATAAGTTGCGAATATTTCAGAATTACTGTCATCCCTTAAATTCTCTATTCTAGCTCTCCTTATTCCCATGATGTCAAGCTAACAGAATACCTAAGTGATAAAGAAAGTGGAGTAATTCCCCATGGAGAAAGTAACTTGATGGTTGTATTTTTATTATTATTATTTTTTAGTGCTCACCAACCACTAAAGATAACAAGTGTAGCTTAGGTTGAATATTGGAGTTAGGAGTCTAGAACCTGATACACTTTATCAAGAGGAAATTTATCAGGTTAGAGTTAAATTTCTCCTCACCCATTTTTACACTAGAGACTTGCTCTAATCTACATTTTCTGAGAATGATTGGGTATAACAGTCTTCATACTCTCTGCCCTGACATATTGGTTGCGACCAGATGAGGTCTGTGGATCAGTAGAATGGACACATTGAGCACCCCGTACAAAGAAGGAGGTTCACATGTCCTCGAACTGGTCACAGAGTAGTCTCTCCACACACTCGCGTGGTGGAGGGAATTCTCCCTTCTTTTGTAGTCACCACATTGCACTCCTCAGCCTCCTGGATCCCTTGCTGTGCTGCGCTAGGATTCCATGATGTGAGGGGGTCAGGCTTTCACCCCAGCACCCTCCGAAACTCCTCCATGCAGTCCCCACTCACCTCCAGGTAGCTGCCTCCCATGGTCACTTCTCAGATCTCATCTTCCTTTACCTGTCAACTGATTACTCCCTCCGCCTGGGTGGACTTCCCCCTGACCTGTAGGCCATCATATTCTCTTGGCTTTATTTCGACGGCAGGGGTGACTCCTTCTCAGGCTGCTGTGCTGCTTCTTGCTCTTCTCCCTGACCTTTCGTGGTGGTGGGTCCCGGGGCTCAGCCTCTGGTCCTCCCCACTGAATATCTGCACTTCCTCCCGCAGGGTTTTCATTGAGTCTCATGACGTTAAGTATCCTCCATCTACTGATGTCTCCTGAACGTGTGTCTCCACACTACATCCCTCCCGAACTTCTCAGCTGTCATCACAACCTTCAGCTTCAAACCGCAAATCTGAGTTCTTGATCATCACCCCCACACACACACACACAACAAAACCAAAAAATAACCCCTGCCCTATCCACTGCTTCTCCCAAGTCAGTTCATGGGAAGTCCATCCTTTTAGCAAAACAGGCTAGAAAGCTCAGAGTCATCCTTTGCTCTGCTCTGTCTCTTGTACCTCGTGTCCGATCCATCAGGAACCGTGCCAGCCCCACCTAACATACTCAGCGCCCGTCCAGACTCAGCCAGACATCCGGGTTCATGATGCCATGCCACAGGCAGATTTGACAGCGGT